AGCATTACAGTCCGTAATTATTCTTACGTGGTAGAGCCATGTTGCAGCTATATTAGTAGTATAGGTGTAGCACGAATGGGTCGGCTCGAGCGGGGAAGGACCACGCTCTCACAGAAAACCAGCGTAAAATAGCAGCTTAACGCTGCTGTGTTTCGTATGGTGAGTGTAGAGAACCTGAGACCCTTTTTACTGGCAAAGAGGCATTCCATCTCAGTCCTCACGGGTGACAATGCATCTGCATCTTGAGTCTATATTGAGGATAGATGTAGATGTCTATGGGTCACAGTAACCACTTACCATCAGGTGGACTGTGTGCTCGTTTGTTACCCTATCCCTAAACATAAAAATACCTACTTACTCTATACCATTCCGACCGAAACTCAGCAGTGCAGGCACGGCTGCTCGGCGGCATAAATGATGGCTAATAATAATCTGCTCGCCAGATGTCGCTAGTTGACACTGACGTATTTTTAGTTACACAATGTCATTTAATTGAGAAATTGTTTTTTAATAAAAGTTTATCAGTTTCTAGAGTATTATATTAATACACAAAATAATGCGTCCGTGATTTGCTCTAATTTTTTTGCACATTTTTAACTTTTTTTTAAATTGTTCCACTTTTATAAATATTTGTGGTTTGATTTATTTGTTTTTAATCTTATTAATATAAAATAAATCTAATGGTACGGAAAGAAACAATAACCTTTACATTTTCCGAACAAATTAACTTCCCCACTATGAAATCTGTTAAATATTATACCTCACTTTCTAGTGGCGCTGCCCTGGTGGCAAGAAAAAGTCGTGGATGCCCTCATTGGTAAGAAGGTGTTACCTAACTAGGCAGAAAACAGTACTGTCGCCTACCCTCAATGATACACAGTGTAATGAATAACGAAAAAAAAAATTGACGGCTCTGTAACGTATTTTCTATAAGCGCTTACTCACTGCTCTGCAGGGCCCCGCGTTCGAATTCCGAACGTAACAAATGTTTGTATGACCTACAAAAATTGTTCCCGGTCTTTTTTTATGGAATATGGGTGACAAATGAGTACACAGTCCAACTGATAAGGGGATGCTGCGGCCCATAATCTACATATATACCTCTATTAGAAGTCAAACAAAGCCTCATTGATTGCCTCATGGAATGCTCGTTACCAGTTAAAACGATTTTTATAAGCGTCTGTCAATTATTAAGTTCATATTAATGAATACGCGTCACAAATGTTTGACTGATTTATTAGCAAGCTCGTGCAATACACGCGGCAATACGGCTCTCTTCAGTTTATGACAGCGTCGTTTGTGTCATAATTGGACTGAACATTACGGCTGATGAGTGGAACGATCAACAGTCGGTATATTTGCTAGTGATATAATTTATTCGTTGTGCACTTTGGAATATATTTTTTTAATTTATGGTAAGTCGTATATAATATTCAATAAGTATATATTACATCGGATTGTAATTTATTTATTGTATTTAATTTAATGGCAAATATTCTCCTTATCATATCCGATACTGAGTTGGTTATATTGAATTATAATTTATTTAATATATTTAACTGAATGACAAATATTTATTCTCCAATGGCAAATACTTATTCTCCTTGTCATATTCGATAAGTAAATTATACCGAATTATAATTTATGTATTGCATTTAACTTAATGGGAAATATTCTCCATATTGTATTCGATAAGTAAATTATATCGCACTTAATTTATTTTTAATTTAATGGCAAATATTCTTTCATATTCATATATTACCCGACTTGAAAATATTCAAAAAAAGTTTATCCGTTACCTCTGTTATAGAATCGAAGATTATCGCTATACCTCTGAGCTATTGTAAAAAACACCATCTTCTTCCTCTTGCTAAGCGACGTGAGATTACTGATCTCACTTTTATGTTTAAGATAGCTTGTTAGCTTGTAGTGCTATTGGCTGTCCTGGGCTTTTGTCTCAATTACATCTTAACTGTCCTGCCAAACCTCTTAGACACAACTCACTTTTAAGTCCCCGTTTGCATATACTAATTATAGGCAAAATACATTTATTTGGCGAGCGAACAATAATTTTAACAATGTATCCAAAGAGTTTGACTTCGATTTATTTAACACTAGCGCTGCGTCAGTCAAACGCATACTTAACAATGCAAGTTTTGGTAGCTTTAAGTGAGATATTGATGCGTTTGTTACAAAACTAACGTTTTACTATTTTATATTTGTGTTATTATATTTATTTTATATGTATATTACATGTTATATCAGTTAAGTCCTCATTTGGCATAAGTATGTTAGTATTAGATACTCTTGACTGGGGAATCGCGTTTATCACTGTTGTAAATTCACCTTAGTATCTACTAGCGAGGACCTTTGATTGGCTAACTGTAGTTGTTAGTGTTATTTATCCTATTTATGATAGCTGTTGCTCTTATAAATAAAAAAAATAAAAAAAATCGATAAGTAAATTATTTATACGTGGTAGAGCCATGCTTCAGATATATTAGTAGTATAGTTGTAGCACGAATGGGTCGTCTCGACCGGGGAAGGACCACGCTCTCACAGAATACCAGCGTCAAATATCAGCTTAACGCTGCTGTGTTTCGTTTGGTGAGTGTAGAGAACCGGAGACCTTTTTTACTGGAAAAGAGGCATTCCATCTTAGTCCTCACGGGTGAAAACGCATCTGCATTTTGATTCGCAAATGAGGATAGATGTAGATGTCTATGGGCCACAGCAACCACTTACCATCAAGTGGACTTTGTGTTCGTTTGTCACCGTGTCCTATAAAAAAAAACAAATTATAATTTATTTATTATATTTAATTTAATAGCAAATATTCTCCTTATCATATTCGATAAGTAAATTATATCGAATTGTTATTTATTTATTACATTTAATTTCATGGTAAATATTTTCCTATTAAGGCAATTTATGGGGGAGGCCGTGAGCCGTGAACTTTTGATGGGCTGTAAAGAATGTAACTTCTTTGTAATCTTTAAAAGTTAAGTCTCAGAAATAAGAGGCCTGGGCCCAGGTGTGGAACGTACCTATGTAGGTTGCAACTTTAAATTTCAAAAGTCATTTATCTATATAAATACTAAAATAATATCAATATATATTATTTGCTTACGATCACTTCGTCGATACCCGCATTCATAGTAGTCAATAATTAGAAATGTTTAATATGATCACATGGGTCAGTAACATAGATTTAAGTAACATAGTTGTTTTGAATATTCCGTGTATTTCAAAACGAAATTACAACAATTTTAGTCTAAAATTAATATGTTTGGATTACATTAACAAGCAGTATGGAAGCTATTATAAAATATTCACAGATGGCTCTAAAGATGCAGGCAGAATTGGTGCAGCTTTTTTTGACCCACAATGTAATCTTAGTTTACAATTTAATATAGATAGTAATATATGCATCATGGGGGCTGAGCTTGTAGCAATATGTGAAGCAGTGTCATACGCTGCATCACTACCACAAGATAATATTGCGATTTTGACAGACTCAAGAAGCGCACTCCAACGCCTAGCTCGGTGCACCTCGGGCACACGAGGCAAACCGACAGTCTACACCGTTCTGGATACTTGTTATGGGTTAACATGCATATCAAAATCTATAAAATTGCAGTGGATTCCGTCTCATTGTGGTATGGAATATAAGAGCGAGTAGATATCTTGGCTAGACAGGCTACTACGGACGGTATTAAATACAAAAAAGCAATATTATATACTATGGAAGGAGTGTTTCGATTTACGTTCAAAATAAAAGGGTATTTGGTACAAGACGGTACAGCCACAACCGTCTAAAATACTATGGATTGATAACCATAAGCTGTCGCGACAAGATGCAGTAGTGATAATGAGACTTCGTACTGGACACATTCCATCTAGGACGTTTACATTTCTCATGAAAAAGGTCCAGTCACCCAATTGTGATGAATGTGGTGTTCCCGAGGCATGTCTCGATGGAGTGTGCCCACAATGCTGCTTTTCGTATTGATAAGTGCCATCACATCTTAAAAGACTTCGCTGATTGTATTATTTTAGCTAAGTCACATACTGAATAATATATAAAATTATTAATCGAGCTTTATAAGGTGAAGTTCTTGGATTGATCACACTTTTCTCAGTGTGATTGATCTGGAAATTTTGATTGTAACTAAATGCGTAACTTCTTCTACTTATTGTAATTAATTACGGATTTAAGAAATTTATAATGTAATTAAGTAGGTACCTAATGTATTTGTTTTTGGTGTTGAACTAACGAAGCGACATATTACTATTGTGATTAAGCTCATTAATAAAGAACTAAAAAAAACACTTGATTCCAATTTTTTTAATACGACATAAGAAAGACAGTTATCGGTTACGTTGTTGAAATGTAATTTTTTTTAATTTTATTTATTATGACGGGCCTGAGCCCGTTTAAAGTAGAAGGGAAAAGTTGGATTCATAATTCGCGTCGCGTGGGTATCAATTTAGTACTTAGTGAGCGTGTCATTAAGGAAGTAAATAGTAGGCAAAAGCTCCGTGAATTGGCTCGTTCACACACGAACACGCGTACGCTGTGGTTGTTGCCCATAAATCGCGTATCAATTCCGGATATTTTCAAATAAATGTTGAAACCTTATTTACTTAGCGTATTTTAGTACGACGACCACGAGTCACTAATTCATTCTTGGGACGATGTTTACGCTTTTACACAAAAACCCCGTAGGTTTCTTACTGGTTCTTCCCAGGACAGAGGTTTTTTTCCCCGAAACAGTGGTAATTAAACAGTGAGTGACTTTCAATAAGTATTATTTATAATCTACATTGAATAAAAAAAGTTACTGTTTCTGTATTCTGTGAGAGCGTATTCCTTCCCCGTTTGAGCTGATCTATTAACGGTACAACCATAAAACAGCTGCAGCATGGTTCGTAAAAATCATTCATTATATATCTATGTTATGTAATGAGTAAGTGTTTTTCTTTGTTTCAGTTTCAAAATGGTGCACCACAATATAACTATTGCTCTCGACGGTATGATAAGGGATTTAGTAAGTAAAAGTTTTTTTCCTAGTTATTATAAGCCAGTGTTTGAGTACGATTTTACCTGATGGTACGTAGGGATGTAGTTCTCGGTGGTAAATTAGAAAAACTCGGCGGCACAGTCTTAAAGTGACACCTGATAGAAATAAATATGGAATGGTTAAAAATTAAATAACAGTTAATATATGCCCCATTTTTTTTTTATAGAATAAGGGTGACAAACGAGCACATTGCAAAATTAACGATTATTAACGATCGCCGGAAACCCGAGTTACTCGCGTACTGTGAAATTTAGACGTAGTAAGTCTTTTAAGAAATGTTAACGCACATTCTGGGATTAGGTTTTTGGTAAGGTAACAGCAGTGGATTTCAGAGTCTAAAGTAGAGTTCCCAACCCTCCCGGATTGCCCGGTAGACTCCGGTAATAATGGTTAATCTCCCGACCTCCCGGGGTGCAATAATTATCCTTCGCTTACACGTGTCGCTACTCGCTGCTCATTCGCTTTGCGGTCACACAACATCGCGCTGTCTGTCCGGTCCGGTGAAGATCCGGAATACCATGCAATGAAAATTTTATCTCTAATACGCCCATTATACGCCTAGGCAAGCGGCAATCAGTTACATCAATCATGATTGACGTTTGCATGATAGAATAATTTCGACATTACACGCTCATGCTGACTGATGTCAGTCAAACCCAAATTTTCGGAGAGAAAGGACCTACCTTTAAACTAATGGGCGTCTAAAAGTACCAATCACATGGACAGGCAAACAACTAAAAATTAAGAACAAAATTAATAAAGTATATCAACAACTAAAATTTATGAAAAATTGCGGTTACCAACCCGCCTGTCATGTCTGCCAACTACAGCAAAATCCTCCAATGATAAAACTTATGGTTGAGGCCTATCTTCAGCAGTGGACTTTTATAGACTGTAAAGGATTTAGTGGAATAAAAATTTACAAAATGCTTTTCAACATAAAAAAGAAAACAAATAATCTACCCTAACATACGAATAATATTATATATTTTTCGTTGTTTTTAATACCTAAGACGCCCATTACACGGTAGGTTTTGCTGTCAGTTTTACAACAATCACGTTTGTGATTGACGAGTAACCTACCGTGTAATGCGGTGATTGACGGTTGCATGAAATTGATTGACAAATATCTGGATATTTTGATTTTTACGTCAATCTACTAACAGTCACGAATTTCGATTGAACGTGTAATGGCATTTCGTCAATCACGCGTCAGTCAACGCTTAGACAGCAATGGAAGCGGACGCAGAATATATTGAAAAGGCGGTTTCCACGCGCTCGCTCAGCCCGTCGCCACTCTCGCCAAACGTGCTTCAGCCAGAAAAAGATTTTATTTTAAATTTTGAGGCTCCCAGGAGTTGTGGGACCACGAATACCAGCCACGACCCTAATTCTAGCCTTTCTGCCTTTTTATATCGTAAATAAGATTTCTATTAGTCTTAACTACAAATATTGTCGGGTAAAAAATTTTTCGTTACTAGAGGAAAGTATATTTTAAATATTACCTCACAGTTTTAAACCTAACAGTGTTAAATTAGAAATGAAAACACGTACGCAACAAAATACGCTCATTTTCCTAATTTTTTGACAAGTAATGGTCCCGAATCCCGATATAATTAAGCATATTTTACATTAGCTCATTTTTAGGATTTACGATTTGTATGAATGTGACTATAGACATAGAAATGCAGCTACTTTTGTTTAAATATATAAGTTTTTTATTTTATTTTAGTGGAAATTAATGGGGCTGTAATTAGATATACGAAATGTATGGAGTGCTTAATGTCAGCCGCCCGGCTGTTATTTGGTTTGACGTACATAATAACAAGTACCTAATTTCAGCCACGTAATATAAATTAGGGCTGTCATAAACTGGAATAAATACCATTAATTAGAACGTAACTTATTTTATAGTTAAGGAAGTAATGATCAATTCGTCTATATTTTAAAATTGGTTTTTGATTTAAAAGTTTAGCAAATGATACGTACTTGCTTTTCAGACATTTGGTATATGTTAAGAACACCATACAATATATAATTATTTTTTGAGAAAGACAAAAACAAACAATAAATGTAATTAACAACAACTTAGTAGTACTAATTTTACTATAACTTAAGAACATAAATGAAAAAGTCATAACTTATAGTATATAGTAAGCTTATTTTTCGTCCATAAATGCGTTTCAAATAAAGCCGCGTATCGATTATGCGCTCCAAGAGGTCGAACATTGGCGCGCGTTAAATTAAAATGGGTAAAATGATATTATATATTACAATTTTTCCTATTCGTTTTTTTTCTTTTTCTTTTCAAGATATTAAATTACAGTTAAATGGTGAATCGAAATGAACTTAGTTTAAAGGTAGGTCCTTTCTCTCCGAAAATTTGGGTTTGACTGACATCAGTCAGCATGAGCGTGTAATGTCGAAATTATTCTATCATGCAAACGTCAATCATGATTGATGTAACTGATTGCCGCTTGCCTAGGCGTGTAATGGGCGTATAAGAGTGCACAAAAAGACTAAGTAAATATAATAGCAACACCATACTTGTAACAGATTTCATAGGATTTGTAATCGTACTTCAGCAGTCACACACATTTCACAGAATACCAGCGTTAAATAGCAGCTTAATGCTGCTGTGTTTCGTATGGTGAGTGTAGAGAACCGGAGACCCTTTTACTGGAAAAGAGGCATTCCATTTTAGTCCTCACGGGTGACAACGTATCTGCATTTTGATTCGTAATCGTGGATAGATGTAGATGTCTATGGGCCGCAGCAACCACTTACCATACGGTGGGCTGTGTGCTTGTTTGTCACCCTTATAATATTAATAAAAAAGCAGTATTAGGTGTCATTTTCCAATGCAAGTGGGATTACTTAAGACCTGAACTTCGCCGAACGTATTCAATTATATTGCAGTCGCGCGTTCTAGGCGCGAAAGGTTTTAGGTAATATAAATTGATATAATATATCTATTCATGAATTTTTAATTGGGTTAGCTGAAAAGTAGCCTGGAGGATATAAATCATTGCTACGATGGATAATGTTTATGTTTATTTATGAATACGGTAAGGTTATAAATAATATGGTGTACTAATTTTTAGGGTTCCGTACCCGAAGGGCAAACAACAAGATGGAATGCCTCTTTTTCAGTAAAAAGGGTTCTCCGGTTTTCTACACTCCCCTTTTTCCAGTAAAAAGGGTCTCCGGTTCTCCATACTCACCTTACTACGAAACAGCAGAATTAATCTGCCATTTTACGCTGATATTCTGTAAGCATAATTTGCATTTAAATTACTAATCGAATATATTTATATATCCAAATATAAAAAATACAAATGTATTTTTTATAGGATAGAGTGACAAACGAGCACACAGTCCACATGATGGTAAGTGGTTGCTGTGACCCATTAGTCATCTACATCTATCCTCAATAAAGAATCAATATGCAAATGCGTTGTCACCCGTGAGGACTAAGATAGAATGCCTCTTTTCCAGTAAAAAGGGTCTCCGGTTCTCTACACTCACCATACGAAACACAGCAGTGTTAAGCTGCTATTTTACGTTGGTATTCTGTGAGATGTTAGACTGCTGAAGTACAATTACAGATCCTATGAATTCTGTTACATAGACGCTATGTGGGGCACACCATCCACTTACTGTCAAGAGAACTGTGTGCTCGTTTGTCACCGTTATCCTTCTCTTAAATTATCATTTGTTTACATTTGTAGTGTAGAGGCAGCGAAAAATTATCTTCTATAATATAATTTCTTAATTACAGCATTGTTGTACACCGTATCATTCCGAAGGTGTCGTAAGAGGCGACGGAGGGAAACTAAAACAGGAGAAGTGCAGCAGCATCATTTCTTATTAAATGACGCTGCACACACCTCCAGCTCAAACAATAAAAATCTGCTGTTGCCAACCCGCCTGCCAAGCGTGGTAGCTATGGCAAATATTCCATCTATGCTTCAATGGGGAAGGCTTATGTTCAACTGTGGCCTTTTTCGTTAACATTGTAAACATATATTCTGCCGACTTCCAAAAATGAGACGGTATTCAATTCGACTGTAGGTTTTTGTTTATGTGTGTTACCTCATAAATTTTTACTAGGTGAACCGATTTCGATGATTCTTTTTTTATTTGAAAGCTGGTACTTCTCGTGTGGTCCCATATGAATTTGATCAAGGTCAGATCAATAGTTTTTGAGTTATTCTTAATAACGTATATTGAAGTCGGCTGTACAAAATTTTTAATTTTTAATTATTATTTAGTGTACCTTTAATAGTCATGGTTTTTTGGCATTAATATTTAAGTAACCCAATGTTGACTTACTGGTAATAGGCGCATATTTTGCGTCCAGCGAGCTGACATTAAGTGTCTAATAAGTTGTTAGTAATAACAGTTAACAGTTACTTATATGAATAAATTATTTAACGTTCGAGGTTTGCGTAGGTATGTAATTCAATAAGTGATCTTATTTATCTTAGTTTATAAGTAAAGTAGCTAAATCTCATGCAGTATATTTGCACAATTCTAAGGAATATGAAAAAGTTTGGAAAGGTTGTATGACATGACATGATATTTAAAATAAAAAAATAAATTTTGCACTTATCTTCATAAAATATGTAGAAAACACTGTCCGGTTCGTGTGGGTGATTTTAAGTATTGTGATATGATTCTAGTCATATAATCTTTTGAGATATAAATAATATAATTATCTCGCAAAAAAAAAAATTGGATATAATGGGGACACTCACATCGCAAGACGATATCGGTGGCGGTGAGGTGACAACAATAGCACACGTACAAAGCACATGATAAGAGTGTTCAAATTCAAAAACTCGCCGACGATAGTTTTGTCTCATTACAATAATGCTGAATTTTAAGCAAATTTTAGTAAAAAAAAATGTATTTTTCACAATAACATTTTTATATTCGACTAGCTGTTCCCCGCGACTTCGCCCGCGTTCAATTTGGAGTTTTAATTTTTTTGCGCGAAACCCTAATTATTTTTCTAAAACAAAAGTAGCCTAAGTTACTCCTTATAACATCAGCTATCTGCCAGTGAAAGTCCCGTCAAAATCGGTCCAGCCACTTCGGAGATTAGCCGGAACAAACAGACAGACAGACAAAAATTTTAAAAATTGTGTTTTTGTTTTAAGTACTGTATACATTTTCATATGTATTTAGTAAAAATCTGTTATTTTGATATTACAAACAGACACTTCAATTTTATTTATTTGTATAGATATTAATTTTTCTGAGTTTGATGTCATTGCAATACATATAATATGTATATATATGATTTAGTGCCAAAACAACACGAAATTTTGGTTCGATAGGTGGCCGATTTCTTAATATATTTTATAATTACACTGTAAAAAATCCGGAGTGAATTTGAAAATTCATCGCGTCACCTACTGGAAAGTGCAGAATAATTGTATAAAGCAGTGAACTTGTGAAGAGCTGTAATGATGATGATATATCTTCACTTCTATTATAATATTAATGTGATAGATAAATGTCGTGGAGGCATTTTATGTACATAAATTGCACATGGATGAACATCCAGACCCGAAACAATTATTTGTAGGCCATACAAATGATTGTTCCAAGCGGGATTCGAACTAGTTTCCCTTTTAGTGCTGCAATACAATGTTAATCTACTGCGCTACGGCACCGTCAAAAAATTATTACACTAAAATAGTTATTACACCGACGCTAGTGAATAATGCAATCACGACCGTTATGCACGTAAACGGAATATTATTTCAAGTGGGTAAAACCGCGGGGCGTAGTTAGTAAATATATTGTGTTCACAAAATGTCGTTGTTGTGTATCAAATATTTAGAAAGCATTGATATCGGGGGTGTAACTCAGTGGTAGAGTGTCTGCTTCGCATGCTGAAAGTCCTGGGTTCAAATCCCAGCACCTCCACAAGAATTAACTTTTTCTTTTTTATTAATTGAAATAACAAACAAAAAGCTAAATTTATTCACCGACTTCTAAAAAGGAGGACGTTCTATTTTCGACGCGTTTGTTTTTTACACGTTTACCAATTTCTCGAAACGGCTGAACCGAATTAAATGACTTGTTTTTTATAGTATAAGGGTGACAAACGAGTACACATTCCACCCGGGGGTAAGGGGTTGCTGTGGCCCATAGACATCTACATCTATCCTCGATTACGAATCAAAACGTAGATGTGTTGCGAACCCTGAGGTCTATGATAGAATGCCTCCTTTCCAGTAAACAGGGTCTCGGTCTCCGTTCGAGCCTACCATTCGTATGAAAACACAATGTATCTGACAAGTAATTCATATTATATTAAATTAGATTGTTAGTGCGATTGCCAAGTCAATCTATTTATTTAAAACAAAAAAAAGATTGTCAATATTGATATGGTCACTATAAGATGTTGTTAGGTTAGCTAATTACGTAATAACTTGAGACAGAAGAACCCTTAATTAGGGACTGAATAAATTAACCGACTTGGTATTACATTGATCTCACAACTTTTTACCGTAGAAGAACTGAGTCTCGTAGACTTGGTTTTTTTTACAAGTTATGTTTTTGACAGCATCTCATTCTTTTTTGTAGATAGTTATATCTAGATACGTATCTACACATATTATTCCATTATATTATACATATACATGTACACTGATTTATTAACTGCAAATGTAACTTTGTAATCCTATATTTTTATATGGGGTTACAAAGTTAATTATGCAGTTGATGTATCTAGAAAACTGGACCAAAATTGCAAAATTTTTTAATTTTTCCTTGATTTATACATTAAACACTGATAGTATTCTAAATTTGAAGCTTATATGTCTACTAGAAGTGCCTTAGAGTTTTGATGATCGGTCAGTCAGTGAGTGACAAAATTAAGAAACTTTGACTAGTTATAATTCTTAAACTACTGGTTCAAATTGAATAAAATTTGAAATAAACTGTGTTTATACAATGCCTGCCTGGTTACTAAAAATTCAGGCTTCTAGTTTTATCCACAACGAAGTTATAGGGGGTCGAAAATTGCCTGAACTGCTTCGAGAAAAAGATGGTGCGGCCGTGCCGCTTCTTTGCTCGACTTGGCGGGGGCGTTGCCGCGCCTCCAGATATTGTAGGGATTCAAGAAGCTGTGAATATTTATGTAAAGAATTCTCTCTCCCGTGCAGATAGATATTTTTCTCCAAACATTTCTACGTTCTTTATTTGAAGTATTTTTGTTTAAATCCGGGCAAAATTTAAGATTCGTGGCTTAGGGGCTTATTGCTTCCCGTGAATTTCATAGAACCCTAGGTTCGATCTCCCCCGGCACCAACGAAATTGTTGATTCTAGTTTTAAACTCTGATTTATCATATGCTCAGCGGTGAAGGAAAACAAAACATCTTCATGTTTGAGGAATAGCAGGGACTTCAATTCCTCAGACGTTTTTGGGGAATAGCGGACACGGCAGGGGGATGAATAATTATCCGTTTTAAACTTTGAGCACGGAACCCTAAAAACTCACTGCGGTGGATCGCATATAATCCAAATGCCGTACCATTTGGATTTGAATAGTCGCAATGCGAGTTGCTGTGCACTTCCCATGATATATTCGAGAGAAAATATAGAGATGCGACAAATTGATATTTGGAAGTTATTACGGTATATACGGTGCAAATTGACCAGGATGACGTCGCCGTTAATTTTACTGCCGTTGACATCGCAGACATTTCCGAAAACTTTAATAAAGTGCTTGTCCTCTGAACTACCACGGGTCATTATCATCATCATCATTACAGCCCTTCACATGTCCACTGCTGAAAATAGGCCTTCCGCCCAGGAATTTCACAAAACACGATCCTGAGCCACCTACGTTCATCAAATTCTTGCATATTTTATCAGGTCGTCACTCCATCTAGTGGGGGCCCGTCCTACAATTCGCCTACCGGTACGAGGTTGCCAACATGGCTCATGTTGTTATTTAATATTATTAATCCTCCATCAGTCCTTAATTGATATTTAATCCAAGTTTAGTAATACTTTTATTTTTGGGTTTACCAGGGCCCGGAGGAGGCTTCTCAAGTAAGCAAAGACGACGAACGCAAAGGGAACGTGACCTACGGAATCGACGACACGCCGCCATGGTACCTCTGCATCTTCATGGCTTTACAGGTAACTTGTCAAATCATTTTTAGTATACTATAAAGAAGGAGCCTTTCCAATTCGATCATTTTTTTTCTATATGTTACGCGATATGTGGACATATGGACAGTTATTTTTTTTCAAGGGTAGTCCCATTTTTATATTAGGAAATATTCCTGAAGGAAATACAGGAGATGAAATATTTAATGTGACTATTTGTTCGATATTTGTGCGGAGACGACCTTGAAGTTGTAATATTCCTCGGTCCAGGACGTACTATATCTAAACGGACACATAATATAAGTTTAGAAATAAGGAAAACCGACTTCAAAATCCAAAAAGAATAAAATTATTTCTACTTAATTTATTTGCTTGTGAAGTCGGCTCTAATACAAAGTTTCTCGAAGTATCAGAACCCCGATTCCAGGAGCTGTTAAATTATGTGGAAAACGGTTTTAAGTTAGTTTTCATGTTTAATTATTCTTATTATTGTTTATGGAATAGACCACTTTTCTTATATGAAAAAAACTAGCGACCTGCTCCGTCAACTCACGATTGATTTCTGAATCTCGACGACAACGCCACCTACCGGGTCCAATTGTGAATCTAAGCCATTCCCTAATCAACTTAATAACACACATAAAATTTCATCAAAATCGATCCAGCCGTTTCGGAGATTAGCCGGAACAAACAGACAGACAGAAAGACAGACAGAGAAAAATTTTAAAAATTGTCTTTATGTACTTTCATATGCATATAGTAAAAAGCTGTTATTGTGACTCTACAAACAAACACTTCAATTTTATTTATTTGTATAGAGTATAGATAAATACGTGCATATTATCTATACAAATAAATAAAATTGAAGTGTCTGTTTGTAATGTTAAAATTGTTGATGTTATAAAAAGTAACTTAGGCTATTATTATTTTAGAAAAGGATTTAGGGTTCCGCGCAAAAAATTAAAGCACATGAAATCCAATCGTAGTAAAATTACGCGCGGGCGAAGTTGCGGGGAACAGCTATACTTACATATAAACATTCATCTTGAATCATTATGTCTATTTATGAAAACGGTATCAATATACGTTGCGTAGTTTAAAAGACGTACAGACGGCGGGGAGCTACTTTTTATACTATGTAGAGAAAAAATGTTAATAATAATGTGTGTATAGCGAGCCAATATAATCACAGACTGCGAGGCACTCCATTTTAGTCCTCAGAGGTGACAACGCATCTGTAGTCTGCTTTATTTGAAGTTGGTTGCAGGTGTCCATGGACTGCAGGAGCCATTTACCATCAGTTAGACTGTATGTTCGTTGGTCACTTCAGTTTTATAAAAAAAAATATTAGTAGCACTTTCGTGGCATTTACACTTGACGAAGGTAGGCCTTGTCAAGTGTGTCAGCTGACATGAATTACTTGGATTATTTTCGCATATTACGCTTGGGAGACATGTTGATGAGCAGGACGAAAATGCTATTAAATTATTTTTCGCACTGGTGCTTTCCATGTCCAATGTTATAGGGTGGTTGCGTTTTATAGTGTATACTTGTGCAGATGTGGTTGTCAATTTGCATAAGGAGAAAGTAATACTACGTCAGATAAAAGTTATCTATCAAATAAATTATAACCCAACTGAATATAAAAGTGATACAATTGAATTATTGCACGCCTCATAACGCGAAGCGTGCAGCCTTACTCTCGACACGTCAAGGTCAAGCAATTTTGTGTTCTTAAAATGCCTCTATCATAACTATATGGCATTTATACGATAATATGAGTAGCCGTATATTAAGAAAACACTTAATTATTCCATATTATATTTTCTAAAAAAATCATTATCCGTTGCTACTTTGAAAGAAGAAACTGTTTGAACAAACTTTTACGTGGACGTTCGGATGTTTATTTTGTATGTGGTCACGATAACACTCAAGAAATTGACATGTTGAGACCGGATTTTTTTTTTGTTAGATTCAGAATTACATCAACTGATTCCCTAATTCATATCAATAGCCTAGTACGCCTAGTTTGTTAATAAAATGATTTTCAACTTTTAAAAGTTCTATTGCTATTAAAAAATTAAAGGCACTTTCATATTTTTTTAGCCCTTGATAGACAAAGAACAAATGTACCATACAGACTATATCGATTTTATACTTTGTGTGATCGATTTATTTTTTTCATCAAAATGAAATGAAACGCTCATGAGGTGTGTACTTTTGGATTTTCCAAACTATTTTATTGACACGACCGTAATTTTAATTTATCTGTTGTAATTTATCCTGCGAATAAAAAAAATTCTGCTCATTGAAAAAGCGTTCCTTATATATTATGTGACAATGCCACGTATTAGCGTATTGTGGCAGCACGAATGGGTCCGCTCGACTAAGCTTTTATCCTTTTAATGCTACGTAACGTACAGTAAGTAACGGCAATCGAAGAATCGAGATCGAGACTCTTTTTACTGGTAACGAGGCACTTCATCTTAATCCTTAGGGGTGAAAAGGCATCTGTATATTGAAAGTTAGTTAGATATATATGTCTATGAGCCACAGCTTCCACTTATTGTCAGGTTGACTGTGTGCTCGTTTTTTCATCTTCTATATATATAAGTCAAATTAAAGTGTTTGAATATAATATTGAAATAACTGGCTTTTATTAAACTTTGGGGGTTATATGCCCCTTATATTGAGATATAATCAATCATTTCTAAAATGTTTTTCTGCCTGCCTGGGCTAATCTTATGTATAACTGAACCAAAGAGATTTAAATATATAGGTATACTATAGAGCGGACATTCGGAACATTTATATACAAAAACTTTGAGCTAATGCGCGTGTGGCACCCTCTAGCTAAAAATAGAAAGAAAAAAACACTAAGCATTTATTAAGACTACATTTTAGCTATTCCCCAGTAGGTGACGCTAATAAATACAACCTCGTTTTAGGAATGTTACCGTTTCGATATCAAAGTATCGATAATGTTTTTGAAGATTACTAAGTTTGAAATGGTTTCGATATAATAATAGGAAATATACATGATTGTTTTATTATATAAATCTGTTTATCATGACTTCTATCACACGAAAAAAATCATATTAACTTCTTATGCCCCTTTAGTGTCATGAAATAAAATATTTAATTTCCAATAACTAAGAATCAATTCAAACAGCAGTCACTTTGGTTGTCACCTTGTTGGCATCTTGGATGACGTCACTCGGTCCATTAGCTGCTATAATAATAGCATAATTTGTTTGATCGGTCGGCGTTAAAGACACATCGAGAAACGCCAAATCCAATAAGACAGCGCCTCTATGTTTTTAAATTCGTTTCTATTACAAAAATACACTTCAAATCTAAAATATTTTAGGAAAACACTGAACTTAAAAGCCGTTTCACGATTTTTCACGTTTCATCAGCTGCAGTACTTAAAGACACTACCTATATCAATAAAAATTGTTATTTTAAGTTTTTACCTTATGTTCTAACTCAGGCTTAACCTACAACTTCTTGCGTCTAATATCTTTAACAGTACAAATTGTTTTAATCTAAGAAATCTATTGCCCTCTCCTATCACTGTAAGCTAGTACCTATGATGGCTTTGTCTTTGAAAATCACCAGACAATGAACCCCGATGTAAAACCACCAGACAATTAAGCTTGGTATGTTAAAGAGAACACTTGCTGTATTGCCAAACATCAACACAACAAGTATCCTCAGCATGCTCATAAGCAACACAGATCTCATCAGCATGCCTAAAAAAATTTCCCACTCTTGCTCCACATAAAGTAGGGTACTTAGCATAGTTGGTATATGCTATTCATTTTTGTTGGTATGGGTACAGTATCGTTGGCTGTTTTACCTCCTTAAATATTGTAAAGGATTATGTCGGCATGCTGTATATTTTTTTATCGTTAATCCCAATCGATAAACGTCGTCAATCACTAACTTTAAAATTGCTAACTAAATAGGGACGTTTACTGGATAACAGAGGGCGCTTATTACAATAAAAATAAATATTCTAGAACAATCTACTAGAAATAATAAAATTTAAAGATTATTTGGTAAATGTATGTTATATTTACAATAGTGAACCGAAATCACGTTCATTTTTTGCTCTATATCGTGACTTACAATATGTTAATGCACAACCGGGCATATTTTCTTAAAATATATTTTTTAAATATATGAAACGAATGCGTCTTGACTTTTTGACGATATCACTAAGACTAAATGACAAAAATCGGAGATATATTCTATAGGACAAAAGTTACAGACGACAATTTTGCTACTGATGTCCGGTCTATTACTACTACTACTTAAATGTCTTTGAGCTGAACCGATTATAATGAAACTTTACGAATAGATAGTGAGAAATGCCAGGAGAGATAAAGGCTATATTCTCTTCTTCTTGTCAAATCTTGAAGTTCTTTTTTTGAAAATACGAAAAATTGTTAAAATGCTCGTCGACTATCTAATAGATCCCATCCACGCGAAGCAGTGGAGTGTTGCTAGTTTCTTCTTAAAAAAAAATACTTTGATGATGTAGACGCTGTAATAATAGATTCAAATGCCATTTTCTCTTTCTCCACAGCACTACCTCACAATGATTGGCGCCATTGTAGCGATACCATTTATCTTGTGCCCGGCGCTGTGCATGCAGGAGACTGACCCAGACCGTTCAAACATCATTTCTACAATGATCTTCGTGACTGGTGAGGTTTTTTTTTATAGATGGTGTAAAAGAAAGAACTGAGTTAGATTTCAGTAGCTTCCATTACATTACAACATATTACACGGATTTTATGGTATTTATTAAATTATTTTATACTAGCTATGCCCGCGACTTCGTTCGCGTGGAATTACTACTTTTGTACTTTTGTTACGAACTGTTGCGAAGACCTTGAAATATACTAATCTGGATAGAAACATTCAGTTAGTTAGTCAATCAGACAAACAAACGAACAAAGAGACGGACACAGCAAGGAACCGAGAATTTGGCATATTTTATATTCCCGGCGTTTCGAGTACTTTACAGCACACATGGGGTGATTGAGGGACGTCCCAATACTTTAGTTAATCACGGGTTCTTACAGCTTAAAATTATTAATTTTTGATCCAACCTACGCAAAAAGAAGTTAAAGTCTTGCTATTGTATGATTGGATTGGGATTTAGTTTTATTAATTATCGGATTACGTGGTAGAGCCATGCTGCAACTATATTTGTAGTACAGTTAGCACGAGTGGGTCGGCTCGACCGGGGAAGGACCACGCTCTCACAGAATACTAGCGTAAAATAGTAGCTGCTGTATTTCGTATGGTGAGTGTAGAGAACAGGAGACCCATTTTACTGGAAAAGAGGCATTCCATCTTAGCCCTTACGGGTGACGACGCATCTGCATTTTGATTCTTTATTGAGGATAAATGTAGATGTCTATGGGTCACAGCAACCACTTACCATCAGGTTGACTGTGTGCTTGTTTGTCACCCTATCCTATAAAAAAAAGGATTCCAAGCAGATGGTAGCGCCCAGCCATCTTCTCTATTGAAATTAGAATGTTTTTTTTTTTATTTCAATAATCTCGCGAATTATCCTTGGTAGGAATCGGTATTTTTCAGTGAGTATTTGTGATTCACTACGTTGTAACTATTATATTTTGAAAGTTTAACAATGACCGATCTTGCTGAATAAAGCATGTATGTTGTACAGAGCATGATAAAGTTGTTTTATATTTGCATAGATCTTTAGAATCTTGAAAGATTACTCTCAGCATTCAGTTGTTCGTCTTTCTTGCGAGCTTATCTTACATTTTTAAACGCGTCGTCCGTCCACAGTATTACGTTCAGAATCGTCTGAGGCCTCAAATACCTTTTCATTGCACAATGCCGTGTCTGTGCGAGTTTTCTTTGACGTCAAAGAGTGTGAAACGAAGCGTCTGTGTGGTCCTTTGTAAATAGTAAAAGATACAGGTGGTTTTAGAGGATTTTCGTTCTGATACAATGCTTTTTACTTGGATTATATCACTACTTACCATCAGGTGGGTTTTTAATCAAAAACTAGTTGATATTTACAATGGATTTAACGAATGGATTTTTATAGCAAATTACGTTTTTGCGTTCAGGGGATTGCGTAAATGCTCTCCTTTATTTTCATAAGACGCTAGAAACTGTAGTTAATACCCGCCAACATCAGTATTACTGCTATTTGCAATTTTAAGCGCTGATTTACTGTATGCATGGTATAGGTAGATATCGTAAGTAAACCTGAATGATCAGCAAGTAAAAAATATTACAACGACTTGTTTTTTGACGCGGTAGAGCCATGCTGCAACTATATTATATTTGTAGCACGAATGAGTCGCCTCGACCGGGGAAGGACCACGCTCTCACAGATTACCAAATAATGATTATTATCGGTGTGGTGTAGCGATTTGAACCCAGGTTTTTTATGATGCGAAGCAGACTTACGGACAAAACATTGCCAATTAATATGACACAAGTACGTACAAGCACAAAATAAAGAGAGTACTGAGACAAAGGGTCATTCACTAACAACCCTTCACAAGTCCACTGCTGAACATATGCCTCCCCTAAAGAATTCTATCATGGGGGGATGTTCGCCATAGTTGCCACGCTTGGCGAGCGGGTTCGCAAGTGCGGTTTTTTTTTATTGTACCTACTATTTCTGTTATCAAGAAGATGCTGCAGCCCAGCTCCTGCCTGTTTCCCATTGTCGCCTCTTACGACACCCACGTGGAAAAGATATAGGGTAGTGGATATTCTTAACCGCCATTACACGGCAAAAGGGTAAAGGGTCATATATACCATAATTACATACGAGAATATTACCTTGAACTTTAACACACTGAATGTGTGTTTCATATCGTGTATCTAATACAATTTTACATTCTGTTTCTGTCATTATTGCTTAACCGAATTCGTCTTAGTTTACGTTGACAGCGAGTAAATTTAATTTGTTAATATTGTGTTCCAAGTATTGTAAGTTTATGGATCTTGGGATTTGCCATATAATCTTATTACTCGTAAAGTGTGACTACGCGACGCGTCCCCAAAGCAGTACAGAATAATAGACGTGCTACAGTTGTTCAGAACTTTATTCTTTTACAATGTACTGAGCGACTGTTATTTCTTTACTAAGATAAATAGTCATACCGATACTTACATAATTAAAAACAGATTCGCTTTTTTGTACATATATTTTTTCTATACTATATTACATTAGAAAGCGGAAGTTTTTTTTGTTTGTTAAGAGGAAAAGCGGGTTGAGAGACTTTTGAAAATTAGGCATTTAAAGAAACTATCGCTGTTGCTCTGGGAGCGCTCGGCGTCCGATAAGGATAACTGCAGATCCTTACAAACGAAAGTTACTTCATAATAAAGACAATTTTATAAAGATAAAGTTTACTCTTTATAGAATGTTATTTGGACGCATAATTTAAGAGATAATGAAAAATTAAAATAATTCAACACTCTGCTTGGCGCACGAACTTTGCATAACTCTAGCTGCACGACCGGAGCCGAGAGAACCAATATATTTTAATACCACATGAAAATATTACTATTTTTAGTGTCTGTATTGAAGTATTATAAATCAATCAGTGATTTCTTAAATTATAGGCGGGTGAAACCGCGGCGGACATCTAGTTTTCATATAAAACTGAATGCTTCTTCTGCACTTACAGACCACCTGATGGTAAGTGGCTACTGCATTCCACGGATACCTGTATTCAAATTTAAACAAAGAAGGCTACACATGCCTTGTCACATCTGAGAGCTAAGGTGGAATGCCTCACAGCGAGTAATCATGCTCTATATACCTGTCAGAGCTCACAGCAGTGCAAGCACTGCTATTTGACACAAATAGGTAAAATGTTAGGAGCTACCCAGTCTCCTAGGCAGATATGGACTCCTACTATTTAGTAATATGTACACAGCATGTATATATATTTAGAGAATAAAGGTGGCAAGCGATCAGACTGTCCTCCTGATGGTAAGTGGTTGCTGTGGCCCGTAGACATCTACATCTATTATCGATTACGAATCAAAATGCAGATGCTTTGTCACCCGTGAGGACTAAGATGGAATTCCTCGTTTCCAGTATAAAGCGTCTCCGGTTCTCTACACTCACCATACGAAACACAGCAGCATTAAGCTGCTAATTTACGCTGGTATTCTGTGAGAGCGTGGTCCTTCCCCGGTCGAGCCGACCCATTCGTGCTACAACTATACAACTAAGATAGCTGCAGCATGGCTCTACCACGTACAATATACTTAATAATACATAGAAATATAAATATTACATAGAACATATATTTAATAATACATAGAATACGGCCTACAGTAAATAGTATTTAATTATTTCTTATAATTACGCGAACACTACACATTGAATAGAGCTACTTTTCGGATTTTATCGCGTTTAATTTACTTAATTTTAATTTAGGCGTAACGGGTGCTTTACAGCACCTATGGTCAAGGGGGACTGAGGTAATTGACGTCCCGATGTCGAAGTTAACCTGGAGTACCTTCAACTTTTAATTATTACGATTGGTCCGATTTAAGCTCATTCTTCGTAGATCCGTAAAAGTAATTTTATACTATATAATCTATAAAAGTCCATTGTTGAGCATAGGCCTTCCCCATAGATTGCCTCAGGTGGATTTTGCTATAGATGCCACCCTTGTGTAAAGTGGTGAACCGGGAGAGAAGTGAGAGCCAAGACTGCTGAGTAAATACGGACTGTATTTTTAATAATCACTCATTAAATAGGTACAATTAGGTTACATAGTATATATATTTATATGTATGTTATATGATAATTAATAGAATCATGCGTTACTTAGCGGAAGTCCATTATATTAAAGTTGGCAAAAAAATTACTTCGCGTACATCCGCTCGATAAAATAAAATGATGTGTCTTACCTAGTTTGAAGAGCACCTCACCGTCACCACTAATCCCAGCACCACTACTCACAACACCACTACACTAGGAAAGACACACCACTGACGACAATACGACGCGTGTTTCGCTAATCAGAGTCTAGATTACCTGAAGATGCCTCGTGTAGAGGCGAAAAGTATCTGTTTGCAATGTCAAAATAACAGCTTTTTACTAAATGCATATGAAAGTATATACGGTTCATATAACAAAAACACAATTTTTAAAATTTTTGTCTGTCTGTCTGTTCGCTCCGGCTAATCTCCGAAACGGTTGGACCGATTTTGACGTGACTTTCACTGGTAGATAGCTAATGTTATAAGGAGTAACTCAGGCTACTTTTATTTTAGAAAACATATTAGGGTTCCGCGCAAAAAAAAAGCTCATAAATCTAATCGTAATAAATTCTACGCGGGCGAAGTCGCGGGGTACAGCTAGTATATATAAATTAATATACCGTAAATTAATTATTCTAAAAGTATTACGATTTCAATTATCACGCAATGCTCCTGCCGGCTTGTGGAAAGCCTCTTATAAAGTAGATCCTCTTACTGCGGTTGACAGAAGAAATTATTTTGTTCCACTCAACGCTAAATATGATATTTCATAGAATTATGTGAGAGAAGTCGGCTGTAGAGTTTCTTTGAAATATTTTTAAAATAACGTTACTTAATAGGTCGCAAGTATAACTATTTTGTATAATTTATAGCGATCCGCTCCAGCCTCGCACGGGTGATTTCTAGATTTCGGCAACAGCGCCACCTACCGGGCCCAAATGTGAATTATAAACCATCCATTTTATACGTGGTAGAGCCATGCTGCAGCTGTATTAGTAGTATAGTTGTAGCACGAGTGGGTCGGCTCGAACGGGGAAGGACCACGCTCTCACAGAATACCACGCTGCTGTGTTTCGTATGGTGAGTGTAGAGAACCGGAGACACTTTTTACTGGAAAAGAGGTTTTATATTATATATATTCCATCTCAGTTCTCACGGGTGACAACGCAACTGCATTTTGATTCATAATCGAGGATAGATGTAGACGTTTATGGGCAACAGCGACCACTTACCATCAGGTGGATTGTGTGCTCGTCACCCTTTTACTATAAAAAAAAATCGAGGGACCCATTCAAGCCCACACAAAAAATTCATCAAAATTTTTCGAGCCGTTTACGAGTTTTAGCTTTAGTTTTAGACTAACGGACTGCAATTGATTTTTATAGTTACCTTCAGCCAGCTTCAAACAAAGACGACTACAGATGCGTTGTCACCTCTGAAGACTTTTTTATAGAATTAGGGTGACAAACAAGCACACAGTCCACCTGATGGCAAGTCGATGCTGTGGCCCATGGACATTTATCCCCAATTAAGAATAAAAGTGCAGATGCGTTGGCACCCCTGAGGACTGAGATGTAATGCCTCGTTTCCAGTAAAAAGGCTCTCCGGTTCTTTTATTTTATAAAAAGAATTAGGGTTCTGCGCAAAAAATTAAAAACCATGAAATCCAATCGTAATAAATAACGCGCGGGCGAAGTCGCGGGGAACAGCTAGTAAATAATATTATAAAAATTAATTTTGATGTATCAGGATATTAATTTATTTAAAAGGTTCTTTGAGCGAGTCCCTCGGTATAATATTGTAAGTAATACGAGTAGGTATTTTCTGTAATACAAATATTCTTTTTTAACAGCTGCTGATTCTCACTGGAAATAGCTGACATTAACCAACCTTGCTATATTTACATCAGTACTGCCTTATTTTTTAACTGCTACACAGCGGAACTAAACCTCCCTGACAAGGCTTCAATATGTAGTAAAATAGAATAAGATCATTTCATTCAATACTAGCTGTTCTCCGCGACTTCGCCCGCGTGTTATTTGGGGTTTTAATATTTTTGCGCGGAACCCTAATTCTGTTTCAAAATTAAAGTAGCCTAAGTTACTTCTTGTGACATCAGCTATCTGCCAGTGAAAATCCCGTCAAAATCGGAGATTAGGCGGAACAAACTGACAGACAGACGGACAGACAGACAAAAACTTTAAAAATTGTATTTTTGTTATTAGTACTGTATATACTTTCATATGCATTTAGTAAAAAGCTGTAATTTAGACATTACAAACAGACCCTTCAATTTTATTTATTTGTATAGACTAGCGATCTACCACGGCTTCGCACGGGTGATATCTGGATCCTACAACAGCGTCACCAACGGGGTCCAACTATGCCTATAACTTTCGCGGAAGTACATGCATTATGTTGATAAAGTTTTACCGCAATCTGATGAACGGTATGGTAGCGCATAAAATACGAACAAACAAATATGAATTTTTATTACTTGAGAATAAACTCGGTTTTCGAATTTCAAAAACTGTTCAAGGTCAAGGTTCAAAGGTCTTAAAACTATCTTATTTGCAATAGAAATAAAACTTTACCTGTAGTGGCAATTAAGTTTAAAAATGCAAAGCAATACATTTTTTTCCTGCTTCGCGACCCCGCTTTAGTAAACGTCCAACAAGCAATAGCTTTTAACGTAATATTTGTATTTTAAGTTTAACATCTGTAACTATTCTATTAAATTCCACTATAACATAAAATAGTTACCTTAATTTCATACGTGGTAATCATCGGGGGTGTAACTCAGTGGTAGAGTGTCTGCTTCGCATGCTGAAAGTCCTGGGTTCAAATCCCAGCACCTCCACAAGAATCAACTTTTATTTTGTAAAATTTTTATGATGTATTTAATTTATATAGTAATTAAAATTTGTTTACGCAAATGTGTTTAATAATTTTAAATGATTTATAATGAATTGTTTATATTATTAAATTGTTTATATTTAATAAAACTATTTATACGAATTTTATCCCATTTAATTTGCTTATTTAAAATAAGTAAATTCGTAAAAAAATTTTAATCAAATTGTAGTTTTCGCGTAAATATAAGAAATCATTAAGATTGTATTCTTAGACTGAACAAAAATGCTTTTTTCACTTTACATATGTAAATTTATATTTCTATTTTAAACTGTTCTGTATTAACCCCATCTGTGTTTATTATCCCAAATACTGATGGGAGGCGATAGCTAGCGAGTAGTATTCCGTTAATTACTTGTACACTCTCTAAATATTTTCTGCTGTGACGTTATATGTACAACGCTATCAAGTCACTAATATTACGTAATAAAAAATTCTAATACCAACTGTTTGTTTTTTTTTTATAAGATAAGAGTAACAAACGAGCACATAGTCCACCTGATGATAAGTGGTTGTTGTGGCCCATAGACATCTACATCTATCCTCGACGAATCAAAATGTAGATGCGTTGTCAGTCGTGAGGACTAAGATGGAATGCCTCGTATCCAGTAAAAAGGGTTTCCGGTTCTCTACACTCACCATACGAAACACAGCAGCATTGAACTGCTATTTTATGCTGGTATTCTGTGAGAGCGTCGTCCTTTCCCGGTCGAGTCGACCATATTCGTTCTACAACTGTACTAATAATGTAGCTGCAGCATGACTCTATCACTCTCCGTTACGTATATTGAAAGTTTCTGTTTATCACAAATATTATCTTTGAATGTAAACGATCGATTAGATTTCCCTATTACAGTAGTTTAGCTGAGTATTTCTATTCCTAGGTCTGATCACCTGGTTGCAATGTACCTTCGGCTGTCGTCTTCCAATAGTCCAAGGCGGCACGATTTCATTCCTCGTCCCAACGCTGGCCATCCTCGGTCTGCCTGCATGGAAGTGCCCGAATGAGGAAACCCTGGCCGCAATGACTGATGAGGAGAGGCGCCAAGTGTGGACCAGTCGAATGTGTGAGTTGTCTGGCGCAATAGCTGTATCCGCTCTGTTCCAGTTGTTTTGTGGCAAGTATTTCATTTTTAATGTATACCTAATATTAAAAAAAATATGGTATTGCCCAATGAAAAAAAAAGCGCTTAAGAGTTGTTTTATTAAAATTTTAATTAAAAGTATTCATAAACCGTCTCCAGCAAGAACCTAAAATAATGTAATAATTTTTACATAATATTCCTGCTGTTTCTTTATATTGCTATCTACTTATACTATTATTATTCTCTTGTTCCGTGCGTTATTCGAACCCGCGGCCCTTAGCGCAGCAACTCACTGCCAAGCCACTACGTCATGGAGCCGTCGAATATTAATTTAGTAAAATATTGGCCGATAAAATAATGGTTTTAGTCCACTCAAGGGTCAATTTATTAAACTTTTAATAAAAAAAAAATATTTATAAACCGTCTCCAGAGAACCAAAAATAATGTAATAATTTTTGTATAATAGCTCCTGAAGTAGGAGCTCTAATTTTTGCGTACATTATGTACTACTTCAAAAGCTATTGTGCGGAAAAATACATTTTACACGATGAACGCATTTTTAAATTAGCTAGAACAACTTTGATAGGACTATAGCTGATAAATGCCGTTTTTTTATTATTAATTGACACTGTATAATATCTTGTACTTACTTATCTATTCTGTGGTAATATTATTATAATATCGTTTTATTTTTTTATTTGTAAATTACTGAAGTGAAACTTCTTTATCACCGTAGTGGAGAAATTGAGTACGGTCGAATTGAGTACGGAGTTAAAAGTCACGTTTTTTTTGTAGTTTCACCGCGGGTGGGGCTGCGTGAATATACGATTATTTAAAAGGTAGAGGTTTAGGTAAAATATAAAATAAAAGAAGAATGATATGTCGTAAAGAAGTTTCACTTCGTACGCGTGTACACAATTACACGCACAATTTTTTTATTATTACTTTTGACATGTTTATCATGAAATGGAATGTTTGTTATTGTTGCGGCAATGATTTAATAATAATAATAATTCATTATAATATGTTACTTTTTTAACATATTAAAATTAATTGAAACAAATATTGGAATGAAATTGTCATGAATTGAAACAAATATTTGAATGAAGTTATAATTGTTATAAAGAGTTCAAATTCATTCAAAGTGAAGAAAAAAACTAAATTTGCATGTTTTTACTGAAGACTTAATACGAGTACCTATGTAATATACATACGTACATAGTATTGTACGACTCATAACGCTAAACGTTATTAGCTTATTAGATACTCGTAGTGCTTTACTCTCGACACGTCAAGGTCAAATAATTTTGTGTTCTTCAAATGCCTCTATCATAACTATATTGCACATATAGGATAATATGAGTAGCCGTATATCAACAAAACACTCTAATTAATCAATCTTATGTTTTAAAACAAATAATTTTATTTTATATTGCTACGTTGAAGAAAAAAAAACGGATTGAAAAAAGTTTTAGGTGGACGTCCGGACGTTGATTTTATATGTGGTTACGATAACTCCCGAAAAAATTGACGTATCGAGACCGGGTTTTGTTTTTATTAGCTTCAGAAATACATCAACTGGTTCTCTATTTCATAATTATTATCAATAACCTAGTACGCGTAGTTTGTTAATAAAATTATTTTCAACTTTTATAAGTTTTATTGCTATTAAAAATTTAAAGGCGCTTTTATATTTTTTTAACCCTTGATAGACAAAGGACAAGTGTACCATACAGCCTATATAGATTTTATACTTCATGTAATCGATTTATTTTGGTAAAAATTATTAATTTTTGCTCCTGTAGGTGACAATAACTGTTAAAATAATAGATAACTAAATTTAAAACACAAATAATATGTTTTAAAAGTCAGGAATACAATTTATCATTTTCTTCAAAAGTATGAAAAACTTAAATGAAACTATCATGAGGCGTGGACTTTTGGATTTTCCAAACTATTTAATAATATCTCGTATATCTCATGTAATATACTAAAAAGCAAATAAATAAACGAATAAATTATTTCATACTTTTTTTCTTGAAGTCGGTTCTTATATTTTAAGAAAAGTTTTAAGAATAACTACTACACAATTGGATACATTTCATTCCTTAGGCTATTTCGGCATAATAGGCTCCATACTACGATTCGTAACTCCACTGACAATAGCCCCAACGGTAGCGCTGGTGGGACTCACTCTCTTCGATCATGCAGCCGAAGCCGCTTCGCAGCAGTGGGGCATCGCAGCTGGGTAAGTTGCTTGTTTCTAATTCGACGCTAGTGTAATTTTTGGTGAAAATTAGATTTAGTATAAGTCTTCTGGATCTTCTATAGGAAGTATAAACGATACTTATAACAAAAAAAAATTTAAAATGTTTGTCTGTCTGTATGTTGGTTTCGGCTAATCAGCTCCGAAATAGCTATACCGATTTTGACGGGATTTTCACTGGCAGATAGCTGATATTATAAGGAGCAACTTCGGCTACTTTTATTTTAGAATGAGAGTAATAAATTTGACGCGGGTGAAGTCACGGGGAACAGCTAGTTTGTATATAATTTCACAATGACTATCAATCAATTTATTTCTTATTGTGCACCAACACACATTAAAATGAAATAAGTTATATAGAAGGTACAATAGGCGGTCTTATCGCTCTGGAAGTGATTTTTTTCAGACTACCTTTTTGCGTAAAGAACTGTTGTTTACAAAGAATTGCAAACATGGAAGGTGTACATAAATTAAACAATTATGTAAAAGGAAAAATAAAAATAAAATATATAAAAACAAAAGATGATGATAGTTGAGGGTAGGTATGATACAATGATACAATTAAGGATGGGAATTATGATGAGAAATATTAGAGCTCCAAGTAGTGTTGCCCAAATGCAAGAACAAGACGAGACTTAGCAAGTCTTGGTCTTGGTCTTGCGCCAATACACCTGGTCTTGGTCTTGGTCTTGGTATTGCGCTCCGAGTCTTGGTCTTGGTCTTGGTCTTGCAGCAAGAGTCTCGCAAGTCTCGCAATGACCTATTAGCCTATTACTATTTATTAAACGTTACTTTAGATCTTAGTACAACTTAACAGAGTAGGTACATATTGAGCTTGAATTAACATAGCCATAGTAAAGACCAACCATATTAATAAATGTCTAAACATTTAATGAGAAATTCGAAAAATCAACTGACACCGGGTGGGGTTTGAACCCACGACCTAAGCGATCCGTGCCGATGCTCCAACCAACCGATTGTCCCACGGCCACGAGCGTCAGTTTCTTAATAAACGTTTACATTTAATAAGCTTACATGTGCTAAAACATGGTTAAACATACATTTAAAAACAAATTAATGGCAATAACTACACTGTATTTTAAATAACATTATCTCTCTAGAAAGAGATTGATGGACCCTCCCCATATATGAAATGGAATAAAAGAGTTATACAATATACCATTTATTTAAATAAAAAATAAAATACGATGCAAATTAAATTACTGCACAGTATGTACACAACAGCGTTGACATTACTGTTACTTTATTTTTTTATTTATTTATTATATATTTTCCATTAATAACAAAATACATTGTGTTGGAAATTACAAGTTAATTCAATAAGGTTTAAAAAATAACATTATCATTTATGCAATACTCAATCAATTATCCACATCAATATAATAGAATACAATAATAGGACATAATATAATTACAATAAAGAAATATGTCAAAATATAAAATTACAATACAGAAATATGTCAAATTAATAACACTATAAAAAGAAATATGTCAGTTTTTCAACTATATTTTATCATCAGTCAATTAGAATTTACATATTCTTCCACACTATAAAAATTATTTTCCAGAGGATACGACCTCAATCTGCTTTTAAATTGGATCACAGTTGTTATGCATTTTAAATACCTAATTTGGCAATTTATTAAATAGTCTGACCGCTTGATATCTGGCACAATGTTTAATTATTTGTAGGTTAGGCTGTATTAGGTTCACAATATCTTTTCGCCTAGTGTCATGACGCTTTACCCTTTCTTCTGCGGTTTCATATCTATCTAAATTTTTAACAAGGTCTGTAAGAAGAACTAAAATGTACAGACATGGTGCAGTAAGTATTTTTAGGTTTCGCATGTATTCTCAGCACGACTGTCTTTGGGGTATGCGCACCATTATTCTTATTGCTCTCTTTTGTATAATAAATGCCTTTTTAAGATTGTAATCATAACTATTTCCCCAAAATTTAATACTATATCTTAGACGAGATTCTACTAGAGCATAATATACCATTTTTAGTTGCTTTATTGTTAGCTCCTCTCTTAAGCTTCGTAATGCATAACATGAAGATGATATATTTTTTTATATAAAATTTACTTCTTGTTTCCAATTAAGAAGAGAATCTATATGGATACCCAAAAATTTTACGGAATCTACAGTGGATATACATTTGTGGATATAAATTTATATTTAGTCTTTTGACAAAGCATTAATACAAAGTAACCATCTGGCTGAGTCATCACTTAACCTATTTCTATGTTTTCTAATTACTAATGATGGTTTAGAAAATAATCTCTCAGCAGGTACTGAAGTTGCAGGTATTAAAAGAAAATCACGGGCCATCTTCGATAAAATCGGATATTTTGTCTCATGCGTCCTCCAACAGTCTAAAATGTCTTCCGAGATGACGGCTCTGGGTTTACCTAGGTACCCCTCCAACTCCTTAATAACTAAGCCTTGAAGACAAGATTCAGATCCATTTTTACACATTTCAAGTGTTTTAAAAGTGCTATGGTGTCAACCATATTTATCAAATGTGTGACGACATATTCGAGCACTTTGTGTTTTAAAAACACACACTTGCAAAAGTCGAGATTTGCAGTGAACTTACTGAACATGTTTATCTTTTAGGTAATAATAATAACAATAATAGTAAGTAATTATTATAAATCCATATAGTTAATTTTATAATAATTACTTACTAGAATAAATTATTATGATACCTACCTATTATCTAATTACAAGATTTGCGAGATCAGGATAATGTATTCGTGTCCATTCTGAGCACCCGGAAACTTATTTTATTCTTTGAAACATGTACTCTATGGCGGCAATCAAACAGTGTCAAATGTAGTGCGTGTGGCGCAGCGCCGACGATTGTATGCGATATCAATAGTAGCCGCCGGCACGTGTATCTTGACCTTGTACTTTCGAATAGCTGCACAATTTCTTTGACAGGTCAGTATCCGACCTTTGATGACGCCGACAACAAGACGCCGCGCACCATCAAAGTGCCGATGGTCAAAACTAGGGATGCACTCTTTTTTCTTTTAATGGATGTTTTCATTCGCTATGTATATTTATGGTATTGTTCGTAATGCGCATAAGTCCAATTTTCCAATTTTTTTTTCATATTATTTTTTGCGTCTCATAGAGTCTCTAAGCGTATACCCGAACTCCTATACTCCTTGAAACGACACTTAGTCCTAACTGCAAGACGCAAGAGTCTCGCAAGCTAAGTCTTGTTCTTGCGCAAATCTTGCACGGTCAGTCTTGGTCTTGGTCTTGCTAAAAAGAGGCGGTCTTGTTCTTGGTCTTGGTCTTGCAAAAATGCAAGAACAAGACCAAGACTGCAAGACCAAGACCGATTTTGGGCAACACTAGCTCCAAGTAATAAGCTTTGAGTAGATTTTTGAGAGAAAACAGGGACCGAGCGCGTCGAACGTATAATGGCAAGGATCCTTCGTAACTTTTTTTAAATTATCGTTTAACTGCAGTTTTTATAAAGTTCCAAACGAAAAATCTTTTTAAATATAGTGCCCCCGACGCTTAAGGGCTCTTTGGTCTTAGCAAAAAAAAAGTTTGATTTGATATTGGACAAGTGAGAGGGTCACTCGCATTGTCTATGGAGTTTTACATGAATTAATCCGGCGCTGGCTGCTGTTGCCCATGGATACCCGCAACAAACCGTGAACGCCACAGAAGCGTTGTCACCCCTGAGGAGTAAGCACTAACATAGAATCCCCCTTACCATTGTAATCATACGGGTTTCTTTTGCTTCAAACCACATTATAAAGATGAATCCACTGCTGTTTCTCGCTAAAACATTAAGTATGTTTTACTCGTAATAGGATATTGCACAATGGGCCGTATTTTGAATCGTCAGATAAAAAGTTATCCATTAAATAAATTACAACCTGACTGAATATAGAAGTGCATCAATCGTACTATTTTGTTATTGCAACTGTAATTTTTAATCTGTTCATGTTTTATTTTACATTACGAATACCCATAGATTTAAAAAAACGGCCAGTGATACTCATTTTGTTATTAAAAAAAAAACTTCAGCTTTAGTGCAAATTAAACTGGTCGACTTTTCGTAGTCTACCGAGTTCAATGACCGATGCTAGTTGGGCGGGCGCTTGCATAGTTAATAATTTCGCTTCAGTGAGCTGTAAGCTAAGCTAACTGACTTGCGGATATTTGGTTATAGCTTCGCCAGCTTAGATTATTAATAGGTCATCGCGCCGAAGACCTATCATTAATCTAAGTTCGCCAGGTTAAGCTTCGATATCACTTTATTTCAGTTAGTCTGTTAGATTTTTTTTCAAGTTAGCTCCCTAAATTTTATGTTTAGATCTTTGATGTTATAACTCTTTAAGCGTGTTGAGGGTAAAATATGTAACAAAGTTTTTTTTTTTATAGAATAATGGTGACAAACCAGCAAACAGTCCACCTGATGGTAAATGGATGCTGTGGCCCACAGACATTTACATTGATCCTCATTGATTCAATAAATAGATGCGTTGTGACTCCTGAGGACTAAGATGGAATGCCTCTTTTCCAGTAAAAGGGTCTGCGGTTCTTTACACCCACTATAAAAAACACTGCAGTATTAAGCTGCTATTTTTATTTTATCCCAGTCGAGCTGACCCATTCGTGTTACAACTATAATATAGCTGCAGCATGGCTCTACGTATGCCTTCTCCAAGGAATGCCACAAAGCGCGGACCTGAGCCAGCTGCATTCGTCTCTTATCAGGTCGTCACTCCATATGAAACGAAATATAAGGTACCTTCGGGTAATAAGGCCTAGCTAAGGGAAAATCGGAAATAAAATCAGAAATATCCAATTTGGTCCACAGATTTTAATAAAATCATTACTTTGGTACAGTTTCTATAAAGTATGAACGAATATTTGTAACATTTGCCATAAATATAAACAAAATTAAACATTTCCAAAAACCTTGC